GGGTTTTTTCCTCCTTGCAGATTCTGTACTTTTTCGTTACTCTGTTTGTAGCAGTCTTCATTCCCTTCTGGACATAAACATCACCTCCCTGAAGTTGCCTTCTCTGATCTTCTAAAATCACATAGCCTTTATTTCAGGCACTCATTCTCTACCACAATTTATGGTTCTGTTTCTTCATGTGCTTCACTAAAGCATCTCATTTGCTGTCTGTCTACTCACCTAGAATGTAAAGACTTTGTTCATTGCTATATTTCTAAAGATATAACAGTTTCTGATATACTTTGTGTATATTTTTAAAATAATTGCATGGCGTGTAATAGGAGAAACAAGAAATAATGGGATAAAATTAGAAGAATTGGTCAATGGGGCTTGATAACAAATCCAGACAAACTCTTAAAAAAACTTAGCAAACAAAAAATTGGTGAGTTTTAGTTGGGGGTCTTGGATTCAAATTCTCACTCAGGTTCTTAACTTTGAGGAGTTTACCTAATCCAGTCATCACCTCTTCACCTGAAAAGTTAAGACAGTGATTTCTCTTGGGAGTCTCTGAGTGGTACAAATGATCTATGCCATTGGGTGCTAAAGGAGAGTTAGCAGTTTAAGATCCCTCAGAGATGCCTCAGAAGGAAGTCTTACTGCTCTACTTCGGAAGCATTAGGTGTTGAAAGCTCTGTGGATCATAGTTCTACTCTTTTGCACCATAGGACAGTTCATGGGACACCATGAATCAAGATCAAGCTGATGGCAGTTGGGAAGTGCCATTTTGGTATTTCTTGTATATTTATATCCAACTCTACAGCAAACAAAAACACAGGACTAAAATAAACTTTCCCCTCACTCTCTTCTCTAGTTCCTTTTGTTCTTTCCTTCTTTTTCTTATAAAACATTTTAATGATAAGAATTATTTTCTGGACTCAGTGTTTCAAAAGTGCTTCACACCACAGTGCCACTTTAGATAACATATAAATTATCTGCGAGATGATGAGAACGGCTGAGGATAGGGTAAGGTTCAGAACAGTTGTTCATGGGGTCGCTATGAGTCTTAGTCAACTGGACAGCACCTGACAACAACAGCAGCACAACAGCTGGCTGGCTAATTGCAGATTTAACCCCAGGTCTTCCTTGAGATTATCAGGACCGTGTTTTCATGTTATTAGAGTGCATACCTGCCTTCTATTAGACGGTAAACTCTTGAAAGTGTTTTTCCTATGACATTTATCATAATGATTTATTCATAACTATTCTATAAATATTTGTTTAAAATTCAGCATGCATTTATTAAGTACCTATTACATGCAGTGCACGAAGTTAACATACAAAGAAAAGTAAAAGGAAATGGAAAGTCATTCCAGCTGTATAAAAAACTAATGTTGCTTATTTTTGTTCTGCCAAAAATATATTCAATAAGATAGGCTTAAATTTATAAAAATAAGAAGATGTTGGCTTAAGTGTAACAAAATATGCAAAGGGAAACAATAAAGTAGAAAAAATATTTTATCAAGATATCTAGTAAAAGCTTACTATGCAAAATAGGTGAAGCTTTCCTAGAAATGTATATGGCTTATAACAGGACTCCTTTTGATATATAATTGAAAGAGAATTCACAAATGAAGAAATATTGATAGAAACGCATTATGAAGTAGGTATGCAGTTTTTCTGACAATTAAAGAAACATAGCTCAAACATCTTTAAAGTGCATTTGTACAGTAAAAGACCAATTTAAGAAATATATGGGACAAAAATATTAACAGCCAGTGCTTCAAGTGACTTGTTCTCAGGTCTGTTGTCTTATAAAGTGGAATTTATAAAATGTGAATGTACTTCAGTAGTAACTGGAACAAGAACATTACAGTCACCTGTCAAAGCCCTAATAGAAGTTTAATCTCCTTAAAAAGACAAGGACAACATGCGAAGGGCATAACAACCGTATCTTTTGACCAGCAGTCAGATACAGTGGTGCCCTGTCAACAGATGTGACTTTTTGAACTTGTGTCATTCTGCATTGTCTTGGCAGTAATCCAGTCTCCTGCATCACTCTAGAAAGGATTCTTTTTTCCTTTTTTTTTTTTTTTTAAAATTTCCAATAATTGTTTCTTTTTCAAATGTTTCTTTTTTCTTTTTTAATTATTAATGATTTTTTACTACAACATATATGTGTTTTTTAAAGCATGTTCTTTCGATTTAATTTTCCCCCATTCACTCATTGTTGCACATTTTCCTCCCTGCTCACCCCTCCCGCCTAGTTTGATTTTCTCTTTGAAGGAAAAAAACCAACAACAAAAACTTTAGAGTCTTCTGTTCCAGGCCTTTATCCTGTAATTTTCCTGTTCCAGTATTTTCCGTGGTACTCACATTTTACAAATTCGATTCTGTCCCAGTTTTGTTTTATCAGCCATGAGTGAACTTTGACCCTTCTTTAATAATGAAAGTCACTGCTGTCAAGTTGGTTTGAACTCATAGTGACCCTCCCTCAGGTTTCTGAGGCTGTAAGTCACAATGGGAAGAAAGCGTCCATCTTTTCCCCTCTAAGCCACTGGTGGATTCTAATCCCTGGAAATATGCAGCCTTTGGGTGATAGCCACACAACTCACTAAAGACCCCACCGCCAGAGCTTTCCTACGTTAACAACAAAAGTGTTTCTAATCCTAGCTCTTTGATTTCAAGATGTTTTTTTATCTTCTGCTAAAATTCCTCATTTGTATATTTTACCTAATTATTTCTAAGGAGTTGTTTGAGCTTTGATATTTTGTAGTTGTCTAGATAAAAAGGCTAACATCTTGTATTCTGATTATGTAAACTGGGAAAGCCATCTTAGGTAGTAAATAGCCTATTTTAATGTGATAAAAATTGCACATCTGTTTTAATCCTTTCATTAGATCATTTGGTTTGAGAGGATGGACTTCAAGTAAAACCAAATAAGATTGAAAATTAAGATATTTTAGGGAGCTCTGGTGGCCTAGTGGCAAGAAGCTGCACTGCAATCCCAGAGGTACAGAGTTTGAATCCACCAGGTGCTCTGCTGGAGAAGGAGGAGCAATCTCCTCCTGTACCAGTCAGATCCGATTTGACAGTACACACACACACACAAAATAATAAAGTTTTTTAAAAAAAAAAGGATTTAAAAAAATTAAGATTTTTTAAAAAAATTGTAAACAAAGATTCACATAGCAACTTACAATAACCAAATAAAACAAAGCTTAGAAACAATTAAAATACCTAGTAAGATGGAAATGCCAGCTTAATTGCATGAGGTAGTGATCATGACTGCTTGCTCACTAGTGTGTACCTAGCTGGGCTAGATGTCTCCAAATTGGGTGAAGTTAAAGGAGAGGGAAGAATGACTGCTCTCCAACATTCTTTAAAACTGTTCTTAAAGTATCAGACTCTGTCTTGCTCTCAATTTCCCAACTTGCCAGAAGCACCTATTTCCAAATTTCTTAAATTTGGGTATTTCTTGCCCTATTTATGCACCTGTTTTCAGTCACTGGGTATGCATCTGAGAGCTGGACAGTGAATAAGGATGACAAAAGAATAATTGATGCGCTTGTATTGTTGTTTTGGAGAATCCTGAAAACCCTATGGAATTCCAAAAGAACAGATATATCTTGGGAAAAGTGCAGCTAGAATTTCCTTGGAGACAAGGATGGCAACTCTTTGTCTAACAAACTTTGAGCCTGTTGCTAGGACTGGCTATTCTTTGGAAAGGGGCATCTTGCTTGCAAAGGTGGAGAATCCGTGAAAGAGGAAGACCTTCAACCAGTTGGATCAACAAAGTGGCTGTAACAATGAATCCAAGTGTACCAGAGATAATGAGGATGGTACAGAAAAGTACAGAGTTTAGGTCTTGTTGTTCATAGTGACGCTATGAGTCATACTTGACTGAAAAATACCTAACAAGAACAACAACAAACTTATTTTTGCATTGTTGGGTATTGTCGTGTTGAAACTGGCCCATAGCTGATCCTCCAGTGGGTTTTCATAGGCAGTAAATTGTATGGGATGAAATTGTTCATCTTTATATCCTGTGGAGCATCTTGTGGATTTGAATGATGAACCTTTGCGTACAGGAGAAAGATGGGCAATCTCCTACTGTGTGATTACTGCCTCAGAAAACCCACTGGAGGATCAGCTATGGGTCAATCGATTCCAACTTGATGGCACACAACAATAACCTTTGCATAGGGAGGACAGGTCTGTACCTGTCAGGACCAGAGCTCACCATTGATGTAGTGTGCTGATAGTACTGCTTTCTAACTTTTTAGTTCTAGGCATTATCTATTTATTTTCCACTGCAGAGGATGAGAACTAAGCTCTCCTTTATTACTGTCACACCTTTGTGTACACACTATTTATATCCAGCTCTTTCTTTTCCCAATAAAGTTAAATTGTGATTTCAGTTAGATCAAGATTCATTGTTTTCAAACCTGTGAACACCAGTCACAGCTGAACCATGTAATCCACTGGTACTGCTTTTGCTTTCCATGTAGCATTTTCTTTTTCCTAGGCTTAAAAATTGTGATTTTGATTTGTTTACTCTTACAGGTTATTAGCATCAGTTTTATTTCATACCATCTAAGTTAATAATGCTTGTTTTCTTTCATTGAGTTGAGAGATTTATATCCTATTGGATTTCTTTTTATGAAAAAAAAATCTTAAAGAGTCTGTAGATCTTTTCTAAACTGAATGATTTCTGTGTTCTCAGATCGTGCTCAAGTTTGAAACCATAGTAATATTTCTAAGAAGATGGGTTTATCCCCTGCAGTGTATTTGGGCAGTCATTGCAAACATAGTTGTTGTTTTAAAAATATATGTGAGCAAATAATGAAAATGCAACTGTTTGTCGTGAATTAGTCTATGATTCTCTTCTTTGTGCTGTTATTAAAGTATCTGTTCTTTAAAAACAGAAGATATTTTTGTACACGATTGTTTACCAAAAGCAAAATCGTTTAAGAAATTACTTAAACAATCGTAACACATTTACAATTGTATTTTTTTAATAGGCTCTTCAAATTAGAGAGAACTGTAATTGCCCACCCCTTTCTGGACCAGACCCTCGAGTACAATTCAGACTCAATATGAAGCATTTTCTTGAAGAATCCGAGAAGGAAGACCTAAATGTCACTGTGAAGAAACAGAAAGCAGATACACGTCTCGTTCAAAAGCAGAAGCAGATACCATTGACATACATAGTTGAGAAAAGAACTGGCAGTTGAATGAAAGTTTGTGAGACATACGTTGTGTGAAGATGCAATAATCCTATTGCATTTTTCTTTTTAAAATAAAAAAGTCAGGCTCAAATAATGTATATTATAGGCATTATCTTAATTGTTTTACTACATATTTTTCATGAAGTATTGATGTATTTTAAAATCTCTTCAATGAGGAAAATGTCACAGAATAAATTTATATTCTACCTTTTTTTAAGAAATTAAAAGTAGTATGTATTTTCAATTAGTTTGTTGTGATTCATCTATGAATAGTATAATTAAGCTGAAAAAGATATTTAATTTGAAATGTAAACTTGTAATTATAAATTTTAAAATGTATTTTATTTTTATAAATCTTTGTTTTTGGTTTGGTTTTCTGTTGTTTTTTTTTTTTTAATGATTAATTTTAATGAAAATTTACAGACTTTGAATTTCCATTCATTCATTGTTGCACTTTTCTCCCTGCCCACCCCTCCCCACTCAGTACACTCTTCTCTTTGAAAAGTAAAAGAAAAATTCTTTCATTGTTTTACAATCCCTGCCCCCCAGGTCTGCTCCACTATGCAGCCTTTGTTCTGGACTCCGGTCATGACAATAATAACCTAGTCACATATCCCTTTTAAACAGTTCTCTCTCTCACCTTTTTCAATGCAGTATACATTATTTCTCTCATCTTTCTCAGTCTTACCCCATCCCTGATGTCAGTCACTTTCTACAACAGTGGCCCTGTGCAGTATTTCTCCTTTTGTGACTGAGATATTTCATTCAGCAGAATGTCCTCCAAGGTCACCCATTTTGAATAATATTTCATGAGTTCCTTGTTTTTCAGTGTTGAATAGTATTCCATTGTGTGACTATACCACAGTTTCTCTTTCCATTTGTTTGTTGATGGGTACTTAGGTTGTTTCCAATTCCTTGCTATTGTGAACAAAGCCGTGATAAATATGGGTGTGCATTAGTCTACCCTTTACTGTTTCTCATATTTACTTTTGAAAGATAAGAGTCCGAGTGGATGAATAGGAATGTGTAGTAATTGCTATTGCAGAATGAGTCCTAGCTGAGGCTAAACTGGGTTCAAGTGATTATGATGAACTGAGAAATTGGCGGTCTGAAGGCATCTGTTTGCAGGATTGATTTTCATTGTTGTTGTGTGTCGCCATGACAAAGGAACTGACTCATTGCTGATGCTCCAGCAGGTTTTCAGAGGCTGTAATTTCTACAGGAGGAGATTGCCCATCTCCGCCCCGCCCCGCCCGCCCAGAGCAGCTAGTGGATTGAAACCACATCCCTTTGTCAATGCAGCTCCTTACCACAGGCTAACAAAGCTACAGACAGAAGCTGAAGAAGCTGTTGTTTTTTTTTTTTATTTTATTTTATTAAATTTTATTCGTTTTAATGAACATTTACAGAGATTTTGGGTTTTCATTCATTCATTGTTGCACAGCTTTCCCCACCCTCCTCCCCAGTCCGTTCCTCCCTCCCCCCATGTCTGTTTTAATTGTCCAGTTGCCACGGTGCCCGCCAAAGCCAGTTCTGATCAATCTCCCTTGTCAGTGTGTCCCTTGCCATTCCCTATCTCTCCTCCCTGAGAGAGACTTCACCCTGATTCATAAGGAAAAGGGGATGGCGCATTCTCTTAGCTACTTCCTGCTGAAAAGCGACGCTGTGGGTTTCAGGGTGAAGGTCTTCTCTCACTACTCTAAAGGGCCCCTTTGGCAGTAGGAAACACATAGACTATTATGGAGATCGACCCTGGAATTTAGATGCACTGCCATCAACTGTGCCCAGCCGTACATGTTCATATCCTTGAAGATGTATCATGGAAGTGCTGCAGCCTTCAAACTGCAAAGCAGCAACATGTTCTTCCTTTATCTTGAGTTTCAGCTCATTTTCCTTTGCATCTCAGCGATTTCCTCTGGGGTGGCTAGTGCAGGTGATGATTCTGCTACAGGTGGTGATTTACCAGAATTGTTGAGTCAACCCGAGGGCAGGTCAGTAGTGATGCAGCTCCCGCCGGGCCGCAGCTCCCTGGCCCCGCGGCTGTAGTGCATCTTTTTACCACTAAGCATAGTAGAGTTCCTCCAGCAATCGGGTGATGAGACTATCCACGTTCAGCTCCCCGTCAGCCATCTTGTGGGCACTCCCGTCCTGCCTTCCCTCCGCAGTGGAGCAAAAGCAAAAAGTGAAACTAAGGCCGGGGTGCGGGGTCGCGCAGCGCTGGGCGCACCTGGGTGTCCATGGGAGCGCTCCCGGCCGGCCTCCCCGCAGCCCCGGGTCCGTCGAGGCCCAGGCTGGAGGCCCCAGAGCCGGGAGCGGGCCGGGCCGGGAGACCACTCGCACACGCCGCCCGCCAATAAAATCTGAAGAAGCTGTTTTTATAGAAAGACACAAGTGTCAGTATTTGTGGCCCATATAACAAGGTGAGGAAATAAGAGAGGATGGCATTTCTACATAAACATACTGTGGTTCTGGTGTTGGTCTTATCAAAGAGGTCATTTTAGCTCCTTGAAGGCTTTTTAAATTTGGCAATCTGAGGGATTCGTATGGAAGAAAACCATCCTGTTCTTGACACAAGTACCACCAGCTAGTTGGAGACAGGTGCTACTGAGTTAATCTCTCTGAGCCGCTGGCGTCAGCAAAGGAGCAGGAAGGAGAAGGTTAGAGAAGAAACACTGGACACACAGCTCTATTGAATATGGATACAACCTAAAAAGGAGAGTAAGAACATTATATTAACATAGTTGGCCTAAAAGCAGCCACCAATTAAGAAAGCGTTAAAGCTCAGACTTTAAAATTATTATAATCCCAACAACATAAACCCAACTCCCTATATTCTATATTCTAGAAATGTATTCTATAAATGAGGTATTAATTACTTAATATTTATACTCCAAAATTGATGAGGCTTAATGTTTTTACATTACTTTCCTGAGAGGGACTTCTTTCTCTTGAAATATTTATATTGAATAATACTTAGAGAATTAAAGAAGAGAACTGTGTTTTTTTAAGTTCCTATTGTGAGATGGAGCCTCTTTTTTTTTAAATTTATTTTATTATTTTTGTGTGCGTGTACCGTCAAATCAGATCTGACTGGTACAGGAGGAGATTGCCCCTCCTTCCCCGGCAAAGCATCTGGTGGATTCAAACCGTGCACCTCTAGGATTGTAGTTGCAGCTTCTTGCCACTAGGCCACCAGAGCTCCCCGAGCTGGAGCCTCTTGATCTCCTTTATTCTATCATTTTATGGCATAGACTTTATTGGTCTCATTTTTCAGTCGGAGACTTGTTATGTACCTTCAAGTTGAAACTGATTCATAGCTGATCCTCCAGCAGGTTTTCAGAGGCTGTGAATCAAACAGGAGGAGATTGCCCATCTTTCTCCCTTGGAGAAGCTGGTAGATTCAAACTGCATGCCTTTGGGTTGACAGCACAGCTCCTAGTCCACTAGGCCACCAGAACTCTGTACGAGAGACCAAATGTTATACCCAATGTCTTTCTCCTAGAAAGAACAAAATCAAGTCTGCTGGACTGCGAGAACGAAGCTGTCTGTTTTTTACTACTGTCAGTATCTAACACCATCAAAAGACAAGGAACAAAGACTTACTATAGACAGCGTCCTCATATACAGCTTTAGTACAAGCAAAAATCTCATAAAATCAGAGACCATTTTATGTTTTCTGCAGGATGATTTTCTAGGCCCCCTTCTCCAGACCCTTCCATCAAATTTGACATGAAAAGCCTGGGGCAAGGCAGAGTGGGAGAGTGGAATCTTCTCTCCTTACCTGAGAGAGCTCATCTGGAATGTGTCCTGACACTGTTGAATTTTCTTAGACAAACTATTTACCCAGTTGTTAAGAAGATGAATTCAGAGCCTGCTTATGTATTTCAGGGCTTACTGGAGATTGATTATAAGGTGATTCTTGATCTGCATGCAATACACCATCTGTGAGGAGGAGGTTCAGATGAACTGTTACCCACACAGTCATTCTTTCCACTCTTAGTGACTGGAGTTTTGTAAGAGGCACTCAATAACACATAAAGACGTTTGGAGCATGTCACCTAGAGGTAAACAGTAAAACGCTCCATTAGATTTCCCTGTGGACTTCCTAGTAAAATAGCAAAGTGGAGACTCGAGTCTATTTTTACTTTTTTCCCATTGTCACATCTAGCTGTGGTGGTGAGACTTACTAGAAAACATAAACAAGTTGTTATGTCAAAAAGAGCAGAGGTAATATATGAATAATACCTGCACAGCGTGTACAAAACAGGTAAGCACTTTTCGGTGTGTTTTGGGTTTTTTCCCCCATCATCATGTTACTGATAATTCCCCTTAACTTTGCAATCAATAAAAAGCAAAAGAAATGCTACATTTAAATTTTAAGGTTTTAGAAATTAAATGGCAGGTCCAATATAGTAAATACACACGTATTTTAAGTCTTAGGTAGAAACAGCCTCTCTGCATGTTCTGTATTCTGTCCGTGTTTTCTTTGTCTATAAGCTATAGATGTTGATTGGCCAGCTTAGCTGTTAGAAAAGAATCATCAAAATAAAGACAGGGCACAAACTCATTCGAATCTCTCTTTAAAAACAGATCATTTTAAGACTGTATGCTATCAAACTAAGCTTTGAGGGAGTAAGGACTAAGAATGTTTATTGTCATATCCTGGGTCTAATAGTTTTGGCACATTGTAGGCATTCAGATAACCTTTTACTGACACACGACACTCCAATATCAGTCATCTGGTCAAAGGTTCAAACAACAGTAATGAAAAGATAAACAATCCTACTTCATAAAATGTCTGTCTCTTGGTAGTTGTAGGATCTTAGATGAGTCCCTTAAATTCTCTAACTCTCATTTTTTCATTTGTAAATGATAACAAATTTTACCTCGGGATTTGATGCAATAATTAAAATAATATCTTGAGCATTTAACGCAAGGTCAAGAACTCCAAACATAACAAGCTAGCTGTAATTTATTTAATGCTTACTTTGAACCAAGCCTGTGCT